TAATTGATTCTTTACCTTTAGTAGTCTGATGAAGCTGGTAAATACCTTCATAGACTTTATGGAAAATAAAATATGTAAGATTTTAAAGGAAACTAGTTATGTGAAATAGTGATAAAAATAATGCATTTTTTCTCCCCTCCAAAAAGCTGAACTGGATGTTTATTAACATTAAATGATACAACCTAGTGGCAGTTCTAATAAATATTGTAATTTTTAAGTAGTGATGGATGTAAAGTATATTTTGAGGTATCTGTAACAGCTGTAATGTGATATAAAAATATTTGTGACTTCTAATGATAAGAGTCACAAGTACTGCTGATCCATGTGTCATTTTTTTGGCCTATGTTCACAATTTAGGAAAATGCTAAATTTCAATAAAAAGTTAGTGAAAATCTTCAGTTAGATAGTACTGTGAAGGCTCCTGGATCTAAGGTAAAAAAAAACACAAAACACCTTGCTTGGGCTGTGTGTAGGTGATTAGCCTTGTGCTCTAACTTTCTGATAAGAATGAGGTCCCATTCTGCTCATTAGTTGCCTCTGAACCCACGTCTCATTACTTCTTGCACTATGTTTCTTTTTTTTATTTTCTTTTGAGACAGAGTCTCACTCTTTTGCCCAGGCTAGAGTACAAAAGCACCATCATAGCTCACTGAAGCCTTCAGCACCTGGGCCCAAGCAATCCTCCTGAGCAGCTGGGACTATAGGTGCATGCCACCATGGCTGGCTAATTTTTTGTTTTTTTCTTTTGTAGAGACAGTTATGTTGATTAGGCTGGTCTTAAAATCCTAGCCTCAAGTGATCCTCCTGCCTTTGCCTCCCAAAGTACTAGGATTACAGGTGTGAGCCACCACACCTGGCTTTGTACTATATTTCTTTATCCAGGCTTTCTAGATGCAACCTTTGGGTTTGTGAGAAACACCTACTTGGACTGTCCATTATTGTGCTCTCTGTACTATTTGGGAGAGCCATCTGTGTTTTCTTAAATACGTTGATGTCAGGTATATTAATTTTGGTTGCCTTCCAGACTGAATTTTTGAGGTTATTACTTCACCACTGAGATTTATTCCCTTTCATCTTTTATTCCTAATAGGCACATATAATACTCAGGTTCCTTTCTTGTCTTCCCAGGTAATGATCAGCTCTATTCTAAAATATTCTGCCTCTCATAGGAATTGGGAAAAGAAGTTTTAAAGGAACCAAGAAAACATGATTGAGAAAAATAGATACTAAAATTTTATAGAGAAAATTACTCATGAAACTATTGGAATCGGATGCTGTTGAGAAGAAAGTGGGATAACTAAAGTAGAAGTAGTGGAAGGAATTCCCAAAAGATTTCAGGAAGAGATATTGTGACAAAAGCATAGTAACTGAACTTGTGGTTTCAAATGTCCATTCTAGGAAGATATATGTAACACTGTGACTATCATTAAAATTTGCTGAGATAGGCTCATTATTGGAACGGAAATATATGTCTTTGCTCAGAGTAATCTAATGTAGTCATGCATTGCTTAACTATAGGGATATATTCTGAGAAACAAAATGTTAAGTAATTTCATGCTTGTGTGAACACCGTAGAGTTACTTACACAAACCTAGATGGTATAGCTTCCTACATGCCTAAGCTAATATGGCAGGAGTCCCCAACCTATAGTGAGTTGTGTAATTATTAAATTATATATTACAATGTAACAACAATAGAAATAAAGTACACAATAAATGTAATGTGCTTGAATCATCCCAAAACCTTCCCCCCTTAAGTGGTCTGTGGGAAAAATTGTCTTCCATGAAAATGATCCCTGGTGCCAAAAAGGTTGGGGACCGCTACTATATGGTAGAGCCTATTGCTCCTAGGCTACAAACCTGTACAGCATGTTAATGTACTGAATACTGTAGGCAGCAGTAACACAATGGCAAGTGTTTTTGTATTTAAATAGAAAAGGTACAGTAAAATTACAGTATGAAAGATTGCATAGGGCACTTCCCATGTATGGAGCTTGCAGAACTGGACGTTACACTGGGTGAGTCAGTGAGTGGTGAGTGAATGTTAAGGCCTAGGACATTACTACACTGCTGTGGACTTTATAAACATTGTACACTTAGGCTATACTACATTTATTAAAAATACTTTTCTTTCATCAATACTAAATTAACGTTAGTTTTCTATAAGTTTTTTACTTTATAAACTTAATTTTTAACTCTTTGAGTAAAGAGTCAAAAACCTTTTCGACTTGTGATAATAGCTTAAACACAGCTCTGCAAAAGTATCTTTTTTTTTTTGAGACAAGAGTCTCACTTTGTTGCCTAGGCTAGAGTGAGTGCCCCGTGGCGTTAGCCTCGAACTCCTGACCTCGAGCAATCCGCCTGCCTCGGCCTCCCAGAGAGCTAGGATTACAGGCGTGACCCACCACGCCTGGCCAAAAGTATCTTTTTAATTTGCAGCCTCTGCTATAAGCTTTCTTCTGTTTTTAAACTTAAATTTTCTTTTTTTACATTTTAAACTTTTTTGTTAAAGGCCAGGATGATAGGAATTTTTCAGCTTCATTATAATCTTATTGGGACCATTGTTTATGCTGTCCATCATTGACTGAAACATGCAGTGCATGACTGCAAGATTTGAGATGAATAGTGTATGTCAGGAAGCTATATACTTGTTTGGTGTTATGAATAGTGGCATTAGGTTGGACAACACATGCGAGAATAAAAGGAATAAGAAATGGAAGAGATCTGTGATTATGCTACAGAAAATTTGATAAGGAGAATAAGTTCATTGCTCTCCTAATACAGATTATATAAAAGTGGCACAAAAATAAAATAGAATTATGATGGAGATTTCATCTATCTTAAAATCTGCTGGAAGGCTCATTCTTTTTTAGGGAGAAGATTGGACTTTTATTTTTTACCATGTAAGTTTCTTGAAAGAAACAAAATGAGAGGAAAGGCTGGGCACGGAGGCTCACACCTTAATCCTAGCACTCAGGGAGGCCGAGGCGGACAGATCTCTCAAGGTCAGGAGTTTGAAACCAGCCTGAGCAAGAGCGAGACCCTGTCTCTACTAAAAATAGAAAGAGATTAATTGACCAACTAAAAATATATGGAAAAAACTAGCTGGGCTTGGTGGTGCATGTGTGTAGCCCCAGCTACTTGGGAGGCTGAGGCAGTAGGATTGCTTGAGCCCAGGAATTTGAGGTTGCTGTGAGCTAGCTTGATGCTATGGCATTCTAGCCCGGGCACCAGAGTGAGACTCTGTCTCAAAAAAAAAAAAAAAAGAAGATTCCTTTGGTTTGAAATTATCCAGGAGGGAGCAATAGGTGAAGTGGAAGAGATTGAAATATTGTGGGATAGGAAACTGCTAGTTTTGAGATTCTTCCCAAAGAATAAAATGTCGAATGTAATCAAATTGCTATCTTGGGCATTAGGAAAGTGGCTGTGTGTGTATTTTTTGAGACAGAATCTCGCTCTGGTGCCCTTTGTAGAGTGCAGTGGCATCATCTTAGCTCACTGCAACCTCAAACTCCTGGGCTGAAGCAATCCTCCTGCCTCAGCCTCCCAAGTATTTAATAGCGGGGACTATAGGTGCACGCCACGATGCCCGACTAATATTTCTATTTTTAATAGAGATGGGATCTCGCTCTTGCTCAGGCTGGTCTCAAACTCCTGAGCTCAAGCAATCCTCCTGCTTTGATCTCCCCAAAAGTGCTAGGATTACAGGTGTGAGCTACTGTGCCCAGCCAGGAAAGTATATTTTGAAAAATGGAGTAGATACACCATATTCATAAGATTCAGAGTCCCAATTAAAGCTAAGCAAATAAATCAAACTCTATAAAGCCTAAAATATTGGGAATTAAATTGCAAACTACTTTTTAAATCATATTAAAGTACACAATAGCGTAAAATTTATTATCTTAACCCTTTTTTTGTTGTTTTTTTAGAGACAGGGTCTTGCTCTGTCACTCAGCTAGAGTGCGTGATCATAGCTCACTGCAGCCTCCAACTCCTGGGCTCCAGTGATTCTCCTAAGTATCCAGGATTACAGGCGCACACCACCATGCCCAGCTAATTTTTCTTATTCATTCATTTATTTTTTTGTACAGAGTTGTCACTATTTTGCCCAGGCTGGTCTTGAACTCTCAGCCTTAAGTGATCCTTCCACTTCAGCCTCCCAAAGTACTAGGATTACAAGTGTGAGCCACTGTGCTCAGCCACTCCTTGTATTTCATTTGTTGAACAAACCAACTTGTTTGTCCCATGGAGTTTCCCACTGTCTGGATAATGACCCAAACATGTCATTGAACACATCCCTCAGTCCTCTGCCTTCCTGTGAAGTTGGATCTAGTTATCATTCCTGAGGCAGGAGTCATACAGGTATGGTATCAGTTATAAACTATGTGCTGATGACTCCTAAATACATATTTCTGGTGCAGACGTGTCTTTTGAACTATACACCCACATCCGTCATCATATTCTGTAGGCATCATATTCTACAGAGAAGTATAGATGAGACTTTTCTCTTGGGCTCCTTTGAAGACCTTCTCTTTAATTTTAGTGTTCTGTGTTTTCATTACAGTTAAATGTTTTATTTATTGTTCATTATATATGTTGCCTCCTGTATCTGTGGGTCTTTTTTTCTCCCTTCCTGAGGGGAGAATGATGCGCATGTTGCCAGTTTCTTTTTTTTTTCTCTGTCACTTTTCTCCCCCTCCCTTCTGTTCCCCTTCCTTCCCACCCCTTTCATTAAAAGACAGAATAGACAAGTCATGTAATGAGAACTAACTGGAGTCAAACCAGATTTTAAAAATATTAGATTATCAAATTATAGTTAGCAGAGTAAAATCAAATTATGAAAGTATGATATATAAACATTTGAAGTTCTTCTCTTCACCAAAACATGAAGACTGAATTGGTCAGAAGCATTAGCCTAGTGAATATCTACATGTAGTTTACAAAGGAATCCTTCAAAAGAATTTTATTAAGTTCTTGTCAATGTTGTATTTTTCTTCCTAGATCTCATATTTTGGATTCTGGCTATATTATAACGAATGACACTTTGGCATCAGATGTCATTGGTCGAAGAGTTGAAGTTAATGGAGAATATGCAACTGTGCGTTTTTCTGGAATCGTCCCTCCTGTGGCAGGTACGTTGTGATTGTGTGTGTGTTTGTGTATTTGCTACTGTTTCTGTGTAGGCTTCTCAATAGTCCTTTATAACACCAATTTTGAGGAAATTAGCAACTAATCTATAGATATATCCTGTATGCAATTGTTTTATTTGGGTGACAATGTCCTGTGGTATCAATGATTTTGTTTAGTTATATCCTATTTAATTATTTAGTGTTTCTATCATACATAAAATCAACCTTAAAATGTTTTCTGATGGGTCTGGCTCCGTAGCTCATGCCTGTAATCCTAGCACTCTCAAAGGCCAAGGTGAGAGAGTCATTTGAGGTCAGGTGTTCAAGCCCAGCCTGAATAAGAACAGCATCTCTACTACAAAAAGCAAAAATTAGGCCAGGCATGGAGGCGAATGCCTATAGTCCCAGCTACTCAAGAGGCTGATGCAAGAGGATCGCTTAAGTTCAAGAGTGCAAGGTTGTGTTGAGCTATGATCACACCACTGCACTCTAGCCAGGGCAACAGAGTGAGACTCTGTCTCAAAAAAAAAAAAAACACGATTTTTTTTTTCTGATGAAACTTTAAGCAACCAAAAGTTTTTGAATTCTCATAATCCTCAATTCAAAAACTAATTTTTTCAAAATTTTTTTCTCATTATTTCCTGCATATATGTATGTATGTATTATTTATTTATTTTTGAGACACAGTCTTGCTTTGTTGTCCAGGCTAGAGTGAGTGCCGTGGCATCAGCCTAGCTCACAGCAACCTCAAACTCCTGGGCTCAAGCAATCCTCCTGCCTCAGCCTCCCTAGTAGCTGGGACTACAGGCATGTGCCACCATGCCTGGCTAATTTTTTGTATATATATTAGTTGGCCAATTAATTTATTTCTATTTATAGTAGAGATGGGGTCTTGCTCTTGCTCAGACTGGTTTCGAACTCCTGACCTCGAGCAATTGGCTCGCCTTGGCCTCCCAGAGTGCTAGGATTACAGGCATGAGCCACCGCACCTGGCCATGTTTATTTATTTTTAAAATATGAATATGTTTTAAAATTTATTTTGGATTTACATGATAATCTCTAAGAAAAAATATCTATTTGTGGTTTTTATGATATTGTTCTCAGAAATGCTTTTTTACATAATAACTGTCCTGCTGAGAAGTCATATCCCTCTTTATGTAACTAGTTAAAATAAGCACTTACAATCTTAGTGACAGCCTCTGTACTTCTATTTTGGTGTATAATATTCCCTGCATATATGTATTTAATACAGGGTAAATTGATATACATCCAATTTTTTGTTACCTTTTTTCACTTATTTGGTATATACTGATCTATGTTTCTACAGCATTATTTAACTTGTATTTCTTAATGGTTGCATTTAGTATAGTATATAGTTGCTTTGGGAAAAATCCCAGGATGGTATAGAAAAACTAACTGCCCTCCAAACTGAGATGATGTCAAGAGACCAAAGAATGATTGGAAAAAAAAAAATAAAAATAAAAAATAAAAAATAATAAAAAAAAAAGAATGATTGGGACAAGTCCAGCTTTCCAAGTTAAATGAGTTTATTATATTAGCGACAGCACAGGATTTCTCTGGGGAGTAAAAGCTGCACTGTCTGCCTGTTGTGGCGCCTTAAAATTCTTTTTAGCAAATGATGTGGAGTCTTCTACGACATCATTGTATGTACACAGGCTAAACCTATTAAATGTGCAATATATCCACCATGTGTCTTTATGTGACCCATGTTATGTTAATGGTATTTTCCTCTCGGTGGGGATTTTAATAGTAAAATGTGCTAAAGGGTACTATAGGACAGCAAAAGTGGTTACAAGTAGTCTCAACCAGTATAAGGACTTGATTTACAGGTGCCCTCAGGGTCTTGTGGGTTTGGGGTTTTTTTTGTTGCTGTTGTTTTTATTTTATGGGTTTATCTTAAGCCATTGCTTTTGCTTTTTTATTAACTCTTAGATGTCTTCTTTTCCTGGTAAGGAACCTCTTTCTTTTTCCTCAGTTTGTTTAATCATTCCCCATTTTTTAACATTAATATCTGGTTTTTTATTTTTGTAAGTAACAGTGAGGTAGACTTATTCATATGTTTTAATCAATCAACAAACATTTGAACATCTTTTATATATCAGGAACTGGCCTGAAGATGTACAGGGGGGCTCAGTTATAAACTTAGACCAGAGGTTCTCAAAGTGTAGTTCTTGATATATCATCTGGTTACTTGTTAGAAATGCAAATTCTTGGCCAGGTGTGGTGGCTCAGGCCTGTAATCCTAGCACTCTGGGAGTCTGAGGCTGGCGGATTGCTCAAGGTCAGGAGTTCGAAACCAGCCTCAGCAAGAGTGAGACCCCATCTCTACTAAAAATAGAAATAAATTAATTGGCCAACTAAAAATATATAGAAAAAATTAGCTGGGCATGGTGGCGCGTGCCTGTAGTCCCACCTACTTGGGAGAGTGAGGCAGAAGGATCGCTTAAGCCCAGGAGTTTGAGGTTGCTGTGGGCTAGGTTGATGCCATGGCACTCTAGCCTGGGCAACAGAGTGAGACCCTGTCTCAAAA